TGGAACAGCCTGCCTCCAGAAGTTGTGAATGCTCCAACAGTGGAAGTTTTTAAGAAGAGACTGGACAGCCATTTGTCTGAAATGGTATAGGGTTTCCTGCCTGAGAGGGGGTTGGACTCGAAGACCTCCAAGGTCCCTTCCAATATTATTATTGTTGTTGTTGTTATTATTATTATTATTATTATTATTGTTGTTGTTGTTGTCGTCGTTGTTATTATTTTATTCACACTTCAGATTGTTGCAGCATCCTCATGATCATGTTATCAAAATTCGGACGCTTGCCAACTGGCATGTATTTATGACAGTTGCAGTGTCCTGGGGTCAGGTGATCACCTTTTGTGAACTTCTGACAGTCAATAGGGAAGCCAGATTTACTTAACAACCATGTTACTCACTTAACAATTGCAGTGATTCACTTAACCACTTTGGCACAGTCATAAAATGGGGCAAAATTCACTTAACAATTGTCTCACTTAGCAACATAAATTTTGGGCTCAGTTGTGGTCATAAATCAAGGACTACCTATACTATATTTCTGAAACTGCAGTCTTCCTTATATATATTTCAAAATATGAGGAATATATTTTACTACAAATCTGATGCAAGATTACCCTCTGATACAAAGTTAGGTATCATGTTTGGTAGAAAGCAGAGGTCAATGTAGCCCCAAAGGACAGTTCAAATCTTATACTTTATAGGATGTTTCTTCTAAAACCATCCACTTAAGGTTATTATCTCACTGAGCCATTTCCTTCAGATACTATAATCACATGCTAATATCTCATTCTAGGGAAGATGAAAATTGGGCACTATAGCATGATTATCTCCACTGTTTGCAGGATGTCAAATTATGAAAAAAATAATTTCCTGTTGTTGGGGATGACTGACAGTTCATCCAAAATCCACATCCAGCAAATTAACAAAAAGCAAATCTTGGTTACTTCATCTGACTTCTGTCCTGGCACGTAAGGCAAGATCAGTCATAATAGGTTTTGATTAGAGCAGTGTGTAAATCCATTCGCTCTGGTTTGTAAAAGTAGTAGAAGTAGTGGGTAATCTCTTAGTACCCAAGAGCAGTACTTGGGCAGCACATTTTTTTAGAAGTCCAAGGGCTGCAAACTGTTTCAGGCCAGATAGGCATCAGCAACAAATCACAGTGATGTCATAATGATAATGTATGTTGTGACTTGATCATATCAATGATCCAGTAATATAATTGTATTATGCTATGTCATTGATAGGAAACCATGTCGTCAAAGAACATGGTGGCTGGACACTATCAAAGCTGACACCAGCCAGAGGATAAAAAAATTCAATGAAGTAGTGCAAGATCGGAAGATACCGAGAGACCTGGCCCATAGATGATAGACTGAATAGATATCATCATCATCATCACGTCATTGGTAGAGTGATGTTGCAACACAAGTGTGGCCTTCTTGACTCTCCCCATCAGCTTACAGTGCATTCTTGCCTTTCATCTAATCTGTACGTTTACATTTTGTTTAAAGAATCTTTAAACCTCCTTTAAAAAGAAAAAGTAACATCCATTAAATATAGCGGTAAAAAAAACATTTTAAAATAACACATCTGAGTGATGTTTTCTTACTTTGAGATGACCCACTACTGGTTTTGCTCCTGGGTTCAAATATAAGCATGCAGGACAGTTTTCTCATCATCCACCCCATGAATTTTACATGCCTATACCCCCATGGGTGTTCCAGAAGTTCTCACCAAATTGTAATGAAATAGAAGGGGAAAATCATTAAATGCATGGTTGATATCAACCATATGAACTCTGACTAACTATACTGTAATCAAAATGAAATGAATTTTTAAACCAGTTTTGATTCTGGCCCACCCAGTTTCGGGAGCGGCATGGTATTCAAAAGCAGAATGTGACCTTTAGCCTAGAAAAAATATGCAACAATAAAGGTAAATTACTCAACTTTAAGCTCCATCTAATTTTATTTTATTTTTCACAATCTTTTGGAGGTAAGGATGACATCTGCCTCCAATTTCAACTGGGAACAAAGTCTGTCATCTGTCAGAAACTGGGAAAACACAAGCTACTAATGAAAAGAATCATGGGATGGTGAGTCATATGCTCTGCCTCTTTGCTGCTTAACTGGCTACTGAATCTTGGCTTCTCACATATGTAACTGTTCAGTGACTCACTTTAGCCTCTGAAAAAGAACAGAAACCCTAGCACTGTGGTCAAACTCTCATTTTAAAAAGCTGTATCACTAAATCTCCTTCTATTTACATTCAGTCAACTTCTTCTCCACTGCTTTCTCAAAAACATATTCCGATCCGTATTTTCAAGCCCATAGTGCAGATAAATTCAACGTTTATGAAAAGTACCACTTTTGTTTACATTGTAACAGAGGTTTTAAGATTAACCCCAAAGCTTGGAGTACACACAAAACAAAGAACGCACTTTGTTTCAAACCTGGAACAAAAGATAAAATGCTTCAGTACTTTGAGCTTCAGATAAAACAATATCTGGAAAAACTCAAAAGAAATTTTATGGAGCTAGTAGGGCAAGACTGGTGTATGCCTCCCCCAAGACTGATAGTTATAGGCACGACATATCCCACCCACTCGTTTTATGATTCTAGGTGTCTCGCCAGCATTTGTCACCTGATCCCTGACATTCCAAATGCCATCTTCTTCCTCCCTCTTCTTAGCCATGATATTCTTCTGCCAATCTAGACGGCGATGCATATTTTATAAAATGTCCTAGATTAGAACATCGAATCTTATAGGGTTGTTGTAGAGAAAATAGGAGTGGGAGCATTAGGAATGTAAGCTGCCTTGAATTGACTCGATCAATCAATCAATGCAGGATAAACCAAGTAGATAATAAATATCTGAGTCTGACAATAACTACTTTTGATTGGTATGGCTTGGAAAACCCAAACTCAAAAATGTTTAAAATTACACTATTTGATTGTTACTCTAGTGTAGGCTATAAGTGGCTTTCTATTCTCATCTAGTCCAACCCCCTGCTCAGGCAGAAAACCCTATATCATTTCAGACAAATGGCTGTCCAGTCTCTTCTTAAAAACTTCCAGTGTTGGAGCATTCACCACTTCTGGAGGCAGGTTGTTCCACTGATTAATTGTTCTAACTGTCAGGAAGTTTCTCCTTAGTTCTAGGTTGCTTCTCTCCTTGATTAGTTTCCATCTGTTGCTTCTTGTCCTGTCTTCAGGTGCTTTGGAAAATAGCTTGACTCCCTCTTCTTTGTGGCAGCCCCTGAGATATTGGAACACTGCTATCATGTCACCCCTCGTCCTTCTCTTCATTAGACTATTTTCTATTGTTATCATACTCAATTGACAGCTGTAGTAATGATAAATGAAATGGATTTTATTGCTTCACAGATTTATAAACACAAGGTGTGCATTTTTTCTGACATTTTTCATTTTATTGCTATTGAATTCCATGACTGATAATTTCTAATGTTTGAGATAGAATACAACCCACTACCAAGATTTAAAAAGTTCTGGTAATTTTTGAAAGAATACTGCGAGATTGTTTTATTCTTTCAAATTAAGTATGTAGGCAACAACTCATGTAAAATGTATTTTTACATTGGAGGTGTACCAGTGGCAGCAAATTGTATCTTATTTCATTGCATAATACAGGAAGACACTTTTAAAGAAAATATTATTAGGCTAACTTATTTCCTTAACATCTGTTGGTAGCCAACATTTGTCAAGTGTGGTTCCTCCAGGATTTACTTGCCTTGCTGATAATTTTCTCTTTCACAGGGTAGAAGATGCCACAGAAAGGCACAGGAAGATCCTGACTTTATTCCAACCAGGTAAGCCTTAGTAGATGGTGGTTATAGTTCAAATTTTGGATTAGTTGATTTTAAAGGAAACTAAAGACAAGTGTACTCAAATATGTACTTTGAAAAGCAATGTGAATAATGCAGTGTGGGATTCCATGCAGGAGAAACAAATGGGGAAAAGATTCTAATACAGTCTTCTAAAAAGAAGATACCGAAAGCTCAATTACAATCAATTTCAAAAAGGATAATAGTGGAAGGCAACAAATGATTAAGCAATGTTTATGATCACTTGGGGGAAAAAAATCACTGCCTGGCAAGAATCAGCATGGGATTGTCCAGGATAAATCTTGCCAAAACAACCGTTTCCTTTTTGTGACAGCATAGTTTAATTGGTCATGGAAATATAATAGCGTACAGCAATATATCTGACAGAAAGCAAAACAACCTGGCAGTTGTACTTTATTCTTTAGCATATTAAGGGGCATTGTAAAACAAATTGAAAGGGCGTGTTAATTCAAGATATTATTGAAGCAAAGTATCCTTCTGAAGCTTTGTGAAGCCTCCCTAAACGCTCCTTTAAACTTCGTAATTGCAATGAATACAAATGCCTTCCAATGACTGTGTGCGAAACACCACTAAAGCAGCCAATCCCATTGTGTGAATCCAGCCCAGATCCTGTGTATGCTCGCTGATCTGATGAACCAATCCGCTCCAACGAAGGGATTCCCAATACTGTAATCCGTATAAGATCAAAGCGCCAAGTTATTTAGTCCAGGACTACTATACCTGTCCAGCAAAAATATAGACAGCAGCAGCAGGAAAAAAACAACCAGAAATTCCTGGGCGTCTCTGCTGCCATATAGTGGTTTAATCCGGATTTTTGCAGCCTAGGGATAGTAGCTCTCATTCCCCCCCCCCACTCCCGTCATTCCTAATTTTTAAAAAATGCAGTCCTCCAAAAGACAGCTCCTTCCCTTCCTACACACACACACACACACACACATTCTCTCTCTCTCTCTCCCCGTTCTCAACGCTCTATTCACTGCTTTCCACGGGCGAGGCAAGCAACGCGGGACTGCGGGACCAAGAGCGCGAGAAGGCCGACGAGGCGGAGGCAGCCAATTCAGAGCCGCCAATGGAGCTCCGAGCGAATCGATGACAGCCGGAGCGAGTGGCTCCTCCTTTCGGCCGTCGATTCACTTCGGCCCAGGCAACAAGCCGAGTCCTCGGCCGAGTCAGTTGGGACGGCGAGAGCGGGGCAGAGGAGGGGGGTAGCCACCATTTTTGGGAAACGGGGCTCCGGTCGCGCTCGGATGAGCGAGCGTGTGAGGAAGCCAACACACAGGACGCAGGTACTCCGCTGGGTCAAACTTGGGCTGTGCATTTTGGTGGGGTCCCCGGAGCGTCAGGTGAAGGACGCTGGAGTCTCTCCAGCCTCTTTCCTGTCAAGCTCCCGGCTGGATTTTGGCAGGAAAGCCGCCCATTTCGGAAGCGCCTCGCCGCCGCCTCTCTTTGGGGTTGCTGCGGCTGTGGCAGCCGGACTGAAGCAAAAGGGTGGAAGGGAGCAGTTAGGAAAGGCGGCGGGACAAGCTCCGCGAACCTCAAGGGAGCTGAGCAAACGAACTTTAAAAACACACACACACACACACACCACCAGTCCCACCCACCTGCGACCACGGGTGCACCCACTATTCTCCGTGTCCTGTCAAACAATAATGCATGGCCCAGCACACTTGGTCTGGATTTCTCTGTTGCAAATTTCAAGCCGTCCCGCGGAGGGGACAGAGATTACCTTGGTTTGACGTGTGTGTGTGTGTGTGTGTGTGTTTAGGGTGTGTGTAAAGTCTATCTGTACTTCCTCTTTGGCCGCGAAGAGCGTGTGGGTGGGAGAAGTTTCAAGCTCTTTCTTCGTGTTCAATATGTCAAAGCAGAGGTGGACAGCACACTTTTGGCAAGCTGGATTTTAAAGAAAAAAGAAAAAAAAAGCATGACAGGCTCAAAATCTGCTAATTTGGAAAGTGAAGGCAGTGTAAGAAAAAATAGTTACAAAACGTTGGTTGAAGGAAAAGAGCCACATGTGTGGAAGTTTGGGTTCCTCTGAATAGAGCCTCCTTATCTAGGCTACAAAAATCTGGGTTGACCATTCAGCATTAACAGAGTGATATAGAACACTCTTAAGATGCTGATTTTAATTTGGGGAGTTTGTCTGGCTTCTTGGTTCCTGCTTAAAGTAAGTGGAAATCAGGCAGCCTTTGCTCAAATCTGGCTGGTACAGTTTTTATTGGCTGTCTTGGTGATGGTAATCAATCTCTTTCGCACCTTTGGAGAAGCTACAGTTGCTTAGACTCCTGATGGACTACCCTGACAAGCTACAATGACGCTTATTTTGAAATTATTCCACGGGTTGCCACGGGGCTTCTAGGCCCAGATCAGATTGCTTCAAACTTTAAAATCCTTTATGGTGCAGTTCTAAGATATTCTAAGCAGCATCTTGCAAAACTTTAACTCAGCATAGGATAATTTGAACCTGGTCATTTGTATTCTGAATGAGAACTCTGGATTGACATGTTCAATTAGCTTGTTTTCTTGGCCATCCACAGTATTAAGAGCATTGTTCAATATCAGATTTTAGAAGCATCAATACTTTTTCTATCCTACTTTTTCAAAGTCCAACTTTGGCTTCCATAGAGTTTTACCATGTCTTCCACAATTCTGATCTTTGTGGGTCTAGACACTTCACAGCATCTGAATATCTTTTCCAAAGCCTTCATGGCTACTCTACCACATGGTAATCTATGGTGTATTTCTTGGTTGCTCGTTCCTTTACTGCTGGTGGTTGATTGTATAGAAGATATTTCCCATTTCCATAGCTTCATTGGTAGCTCCAAAGCTTGCTGTTGTACCTGTTGTCATTAGTTTAATCTTCTTTATGTTTAATTTGAATCCTGCTTTTTTCACTTTGCTCCTTTATTACTCGAGTTTGCACATCCTTTGCTTTTTTTGTTTATCAGAATACAATAGTATCATCAGCATACTGGTTATTGATGTTTTTTCCCTTCAGTTTTAAAACTATACTGCTTTTCTTCCAGTACATCTTTCCTTAATATATATTGAGCATATAGGTTGAGTATATGAGGGGAGAGTGAACAGCCTTCTCTCATTTGCCAACTTGAAGTGACTCTGTTTCCCTGTGTTATATAACCTTACTTTGGCTCCCCAATCTGTGTAGTATTTAGGTTTTGCAAGAGGAAAACAAGCTGTTGTGAGTTTCTGTTTTCCTAAGCACATTCTACGGCTTGATGTGATTGACATCACCTAACACCTTTCTATATGTAACAAAGCCTATAGTGGCTCCTTGGAATTTTTTTTAGCTTTCTGAGTTATCCAGGGTACATCAGTAATAATGTCTTGTTTTCCTCAGCCTTTTCTAAAGTCAGCTTGAACATCTGGCATCTTTTCCATGTAAGGTTTTAATCTGCTTTGGATGATCCTATGCATTATTTTGCTAGCATGGGAAATTCATATTGTCCGTGAACTCTGATATTATTCAGTCACTGATCGCATTGTAGCCAAATATTTTTCTTGCTACACCCTTCCTAATTATAAAAACAGTGCTGTTCCTTCTTTGTGTTTTGTATCCTAAGCAAAAAAAACCCAGTGTAATCTTCTGACTGAAATTGTCCAATCCTAATCTATCTCAGTTCACTGATGCCTTAGATATCAATCTGTAGTTGTTTTATTTCTAGTTTTATTGTGTTTAATTTTACTGGGTTCATGTTATATTTCGTGCACTCAGTGTAATTCTGGCTTTGCAGCCTGGTATTTTCTTTTCCTGTATGACAAAGACTTTAATTTAGACACACCACAAACACCATTAGAACTCAGCTCTTCCTCAGTATGTCATCTGACCTGAGGGGCCCAACATCCAACGCTATTTTATATCTTTTTTAGCAGGAAAACCACTAAAAATGTACTTTTCTTGCTAAAAGTACAAGGATGGCTTACTATTGCCTTTTTCCATGCAGAGTGAATTGATGCCTTTGCTACTAAAGTGATCATCTACCTCCAGCATCTTCCTGTATCATTGTTGCCCAATGTAGGTGCACATTTGGTTAGCAGAACAGATGGTATAACCTCACACCTTGGGTGACCCTGCTAGAAAAATATACTCTTGGCATATGCCCCCAAATTTATTTGTCTACACCTCCCAAGAATACTTCCCACCATGATAAGGATGGTGAGGACAAGCACAAGAGGATGGGAAAGGAGGTGACACTTTGATACATCTAAAAATTTGCATCTTGTTGACTACAGAATGAAAATATTTTGCTAGCCATTTTTAAAAGACACGTCACGTTTATCCCATCACCAGAGGCAGAAGCAGTTATACGGTAATTGTTCTGATATTACAGTTATGTACTCTTCTTGTATGAATGATCTGCAGTAGTTCAATTCTCTCTGGTAGCTTGACATTGCATTCATTGGCTATTTTTTAGCTTGGGCTGAAAGAGAGATCAGGCATCTAGCTTCAGTGTTATGCCTGATGCCAATTTCAAAGCATTTTGTGATATGTTGAATGGGCTCCTTACTAAAATAGATGTGATGTTCTGCAAGAACATGGAAACTGTTTCCTTAAAACCCTTGTTCAGCAGTCGTTAAGAAGAGTGTGAGATCTGTCTTTAAGAGATGCTATTTCTGCCAAATGAGTTTTATTGGTATACACAGGTTTTTTGCTGCTTCTACAAAAAATATAAGCTTTACATGGCCAAGTCCACTGCCATTTTATATGCAGGTAGACCTCATTTGTCAGGGCTGAACAAGGGGATTTACTATCATTACTTGTACTAACAGTTATTATTGTGTCCCCATATTCATGTATTCACAATTTGGACACTTAGCTACCAATTCACAATTATGTTGCAGCATTTTGCAGTCACACAATTGTCATTTGTGACCTTCATTGCCAGTTCTAACCAGCAAAGTCAATAGAGAAACCTAGAAGAAGTCACAAATGGTGATCATCTGACTGTGGGACCACAAGGGGTTCTCCTAATGATTGCCACTACTACTCTCGGAAGTCAGTGCAGTCAGCTAATTTCATACTTTATGACTGTGACTAAGTTGCTGGTCCCAATTACCATCATTAAGCAAGGACTACCTGTATTTTCAGGTGCTGTGGGGCTTGGTTGTTCATTTCTGATATTGCTATTTCTGTAGCCCTTAATGATTTGGAATATATGAGATGGGGGTTGAATTGACAAGAGGTTTGCCTGTTCTCTCTTAGCCAAATGATAGGTGATGGGTGTTGCCAAGGGAGGGATTAAAGTGGAAGAAAGTTATTCTAATGTTCTGTAGAATCTTTCTGTTAAATATAAACCAAATATTTTTTGAACACAAATAATCTTTTCCAGAAGTGTGGTAGACTTTAAACAAAAGTGTCTAGCATTCTTCCGGGAGACTGTTAGACATTTGTTCAGAAATAAATCCACTGACAAGTACCAAGGCAGAGTACTTCTAGTCTATTGACCTGTCATTTGAAAATGATAAACCTCCATCACTCAACCCCATTTCACCATATAGTAAGGAAAATTATTAGTGATTTATTTCCACAAGTTTCGGTGATGATGGGAAAGGTGGAAAAAAGCTACCTGGATAATCCACCAATTGCTTTTCTTAGCTTGTCCCACATCAAAGCTTCAAAGACACTATTGTGTGTCAGCCTTGTTACTGAAGTGTTAGGGCAGTATAGTTATGTCAACATACTTTTCTGCCAACTCAAAGACTGGAAGAATATGGGTTAGTATGACCCTGATAAAGAATCCAAAGTTATTGTGGATCTGGAATTTTCACCTGACATTGAACTGGCTAACAGAATTACACCAAGATCTGGGCCAATTTAGTCTCAGCTAATGCTTCCAGATGTGTTAAAAACTACAATTTGAATAATTGGAAATAACAAAGAATTTCAGTCATGGAAAGGAATTTTGTTCTTACATTTGTTTTTGCAGCTGTTAAACGGTTTGTAAATTGGAAGTCCTATTGATGTATCAAAAATAACATGGATTGCAGGCAATTCAGCCTTAAAATATAATCCCCTCCCTAGGAATTCAAACATACTGTATACCTATTATAATTGATCTCTGCTTCAGAATGTATATATTATTTATTGGTATTGGAAGCAAAGCCAGTTTCCAAAACTTGAGTTCATATTTGTTAAGTTCCAGAATGAGACAATAGATATAAAATAGTTTGGATGTTTATTGGCTGCAATTTTTAAGCTTAGTTCTAACCCCAGCTGTCTCTATAACTATAAAAATAAAGTCCTCTTCAAATTAAGCTTGACTTTTTTGTTGATTATATAGATGCATCCATATAGTTTTCTTTGCAGCTGTAGTTTGCCATTGCCTTATTCCAGGATGATTTTTTTTTCAATTCCCAAGCCTAGTGTGTGCCCTTTAAGTTTTTCAAATTCTTCCAAGTACTAACTACATCAGTTCTTGCTTAGTTTCCAAGCTACATACTAAGGGGTGTCACATGCTATGAGGTGTCTAATAAAATATGTTGCTTCCTTCTGTATAATTGAATAGTTTCATACCTCTGTAAAAACGGTACTAGTATATCACAACAACATGATGATAGCAGCAAAACGTATTCGGTGGTTTAGGTTGTAGAAATTTTGTATCAGGTTTGAAACCACTTCTAAGCTATCTCAAAGTGTAGAAGAAATAAAACAGTACTATTTAATATTCATATCTTCATAAACGACTACAAGCCCTGGGACTAGGCCTAGCTTACAAAAGTAGTAAGCTACTTTTGATTCAACAGTAGTCTATTTACCTACTGAAATCTGAACATTGTTCTTTGGGAGAATGACATGTCACCATAATTAGAAGTTGGGCAGTAAGTAAAAACTTCCTTGTTGCTCTTCAGCTTAACATGCCATCCTCTGAATTATCTTTGATCAAGTGTATATAGAAGCGTGTGATGATTTATACTATAAAGACCTTATTTTATTTAACTATATGGTAATTCAACTATAAGATAATTGAGGCACGTAATAAGTATTAAAAATTAAAGAAATGTGAAGTTAAATTTGAGTGCTGATAATTTCAGAAATAATATCAAGTCTTTGTCTTCTTTTTTTTTTAAATAGACATTTGAAAGTAACTACACCAAAGAGTACTGCAAACCTGCCACTACCATGGCAACAAAATGTCTTGGTAAGAATGAATTAGTGATTTTTAAAGACACATATTTTTAATCAATGCACTGTGTTTTCTGATTTTTAATCTGGGCAATTATAACAAGATTTACAGCTCTGAGAGTTTTTAAAACTTTTAATAAAATGCAGATGAAAGGTTTGTGTTCTAATAGTGGTGCCTTTGTATAGTTGTGTGTCTCTTAATTAGAAAGATAATCATCAGTTATAAATGCCGTCTCCATTGTCAGTAGGAAAAAGACAGAATTGCCACTGATTAATCTACAATACAATACAAACCTATTACTTAGTTCTTCAGGTTAATCTTTCAAATTCTTATCTTTGAACAAAATTTATTTTCTGGGATTTCTCATTAAAAGATAAAATTGGCTTTCATTCTTAATCTTGAGACATTATAACTTGTGAAAAACAAATGTTTTTCAGACAATATTAAATGGCCTAGTTTGCCAAATATACATTAAGGCAGACATGTCAAACTCACGACGTCATGTGACGTCACGCAACGTATCGGGACAGTTTTACCATTGCCAGCAATGGAGTGGGCACGGCTTCCTTGTGATGCATCCGGCCCGCAGGCTGGCAGTTTGACACCCCTGAATTAAGGGTTTCTTTAAGCTTCAGACATTTTAACCAGTTGCTATGGAAGTGACTTGTGTACATTCCATTTCTGTGATATCACTAGGGATTGATGACAAATTTGAGTCAATTTCTGCACAATCTCAAGGTGGTGGGCCAACTCTATCAATATTTGAAGTTAACATCTATCTTTAGTTGGTAAAACCTAAGGTGTCATTTCAATTCTGTAAAAGTTTGTGGAATAGGATTAAAAATTTAGTATTTAGTAGTGCCTAGTTTATGGTGAGTGTGATTTGGGACATTAATCTGAAGAAAGTAAAGAAAAATCTCTTCAGAAGTTAAAAATTTTCATTTTAAAGTGATATTGTTTGAGTAATATATTTTTAACTATAAAATGGAACTGTCATCAACTGAAATACATTCATATGTTTGAATAAATATATGAAAGCCATATGTGTATCTATATAGTATTTATCTACTCTATCTAATACATTGTAATAAAAGACAGAACAATGACTATTGATAAGTGGTTGAAAATGCTAAGGGCTTATTTTTTCTTGAATTTTTGCAGAAAATGCTCAAGAATATAGATAAAAAAATGTTCCATGGGATATGTCTGTGTCATACTTATAAAAATCTAGAAGGTAAGGAAAACTCTGTCATACCATATATATCTAATATAAATAACAAAATAAATATAAATCTGCTTTATATTTCTCGAATAATTAAATTGTAAAACTCTACAGTTAAAATAATAGAGCATATAATAATTAGTTTCTCTTTTCATCCAAATAACTATTATTTCTTCCAATTTTACTTGAGTCTTACAAATGTTCATCAGTTACCTATAATGTGCTTTTTTTGACAGCAAGAAATCATTTAGCTTGATGTACCATTTTCTTTTACTGAAACTGAACAAACTCATTTATTTGGGCAGGGTAGTTAGAACTGTAGCTGATAATTCTTTAGAAAACACACATAGCCAGTTAGTCCTGTTTTGCATGCTTCATTAAATTCTATCATACAAACTCAACTTTTCTGGAGCTTAATTCTGTCTCCAAAAAAGTATTTTGTGTAACTAGTGTGAGAAAAATAAATAGGCATCTACATAATTTATAAAGAATTATATTATTAGTTCACAGTTGTTTAAATTTATGTGATATGTTGCTGATAAATGCAATTGTTAATGATATTGACTAATTATTTTATAGCAGAATAAGGGATGACAAGAGGAAGAAGATCCTTTATTCTCTTTGCCACTTCTAGGAACTATGAAAACAGTATTTTGCTTGCAGATATAATTTGTGGATTCTGATAAAAATAAAACCATTATTCAAAGCAATGCTTCTAATTCTAGCCAACTTAAGGCTTCTCCTTCCTATGTTGTCTAAAGGGTTATTACCTCATACAACTAATCAAATAATGTCCATATATGGCATGTAACACATCTTTCTTTTGACTAAGGAGCACAGTTGGCATGCTAGTGTCAGCAGTCTAAAAAGCGGTTGAAAAGAAAGGAACAAAAGAAAGATTACTGCCCAGTCATATATTTAATAATTTCATCCTGTGTCACATCAGAAATGACAATTTAATTACTACTTTTGGAGGTCTCTAGAAGTTGTGTTTGGTGATATGCCATGCTTATGGCTTGTCACTGAAAACAACCCAATATGATTATCAGAATGTAGAGATTATTTGGAAAAATATAATGAGGATCCTGTACTTTGGATGCAGAAGTCACCACCTGGACTTGGTGATTGTTAATGTCTCCTAGCTGGAGGAGGAATTATCAGCAGTCTTGAAGTAGCTTGTGGTATGTTCACTTCTGAAGAAACTATTCTTGGATTCAGGAATTGGAGGTAACTACTGTCAAATGTCCAGCCTCCCTTTTCAGAGAAGATTGTTGAGACAGTGATGGCAGAAGAAATGGATTATCTGGACCCTTTTCATTTGGGTTTCTTGCCAGGACATGGGACAATAATAGCATTGGTCTCTTTTATGATGGCATGAGTCAAGACCTGGATGGAAATAGTGAACTCTTCTTCATATTTTTGAATTTCTCCGTGGTTTTGATTCCATCATCTATGGTATCTTACTCTACTTATGGGACTTAGTTTTGGCAGGTCTGTTTTGCAGTGATTCCACTCTAGAAGAGCTTTTGCCTGGCTTGGGCTGTTCCACCAATTGGTACAAGAGGACCTGGATATAATAATTAATGCACTAGTTGGATTATTGCAATGTGTTTAAAGACCTCTTGAAAACCACAACTAGCCCAGAATGTGCCAGCTAGCCTTCATATTTGTTGGGGGCATGAATTATTAATTCTGTGAGCCCTGCACTGGTTGTTAATTGGTTTCCAACTACAATTTATGTTGTTTATATTGACTTAAAAAAACCTTCATGGCTGGGTTCTGAAATACATGCAGGACTACCTGCTGTAAGCAGAATTGTCCTGTCATGCTACAGGGAGAAACTGCTTGAGCTCTCACATTTCTGGGAGATGAGAGATATTTTAATTATAATCATATTGCATATAGACTTTAAACTGCTGAGAATAATCAAATTACAGCTGAGTATAATTTAATAAACTTAGCTTATATGTTTTTGTTTGGTTGCATTAATGCAGGCTACTGCTTTATACACAATTCATAGGCATAGTTTATTAACAAAATAATTTTAAGCTAGCTTGAATTCTGCCATGTTACTTTTGTTTTTTCTATGAGTCTTACCTTATAGATTTGGCATATTTCCATGGAAAGCATGTTCATTTTGGCATCCTTCTGTGGAAAAATTGAAAAAAAAATTGTATGCCTTCTAATAATTACTGCATACTGGGTGTCTGTAGTTGATACTGATACAGTATATCTCTGAAATCACATATTTAATGTTGATATTTATTCTCCTGCTTTATCTAAACTTAGTTTTTGATTAATACCCAAATTCAGCTGGGGAGGAGGCTGTTATTATATTACTATCATTCATAACTATAGGCATTCACAGGTAACTAAAGTTTGCCAAAATAAAGAAACCTTCATAGTGCAATCTCTTCCCTTCCTGTATCACAACATTGCATGCAAATACATAATAGGCAGAATTGCATCAAGATGTCACAACACAGCCTTTTTCAATTACACCCCCACGTCCTATATATGCATATGCATTGTGCATATCACATCTGTGTTTTCAAAGTGAGACTCTTGGATTGCAAAATAGGTGAAATGGCAGATTTAAGATCTGATGGAAAGTTGGAAAAGCCTACTATCCTGTAGGCAATTGACGCCCTTTTATTATTTTTTTATTTTTTTTAGAAAATACTCTTCATCTTTACATGATGCCATGAAGCTCATTGAAGTCCAGTCATCATTTTATTCTTAAAAGGTTACAGAACAGGTATGAAAATCTTGTGAAATAACTGGCATTCTACAGTTTGCTTATCCAAAATACAAGGCTATTAGAATAAAGCAGAAATCTCCAAATTTGGCAGCTTTAAGACTGTGGACTTCAATTCCAATAATTCCTCAACCAGCCATGCTGGCTGTGGTGTATTCTGGGAGTTGAAGTCCACAAGTCTTAAAGTTGACAGGTTTAGAGACCGCTGGAATAAAGTATAAGTAAAAAAAAAGATTGATTTGTTTAGATGAAAATAGATGCAGCTCAAAATGTGCACGCAGTGTATTTCTTTTATTTTCTATGATCCAATTTTAATCCGGACATAAGTAGTGTGGTATTTAACCTTTTCCCCAATTAAATTCAGGATAATCTGTTTAAGCCTTTTATAGTTCACATTTCCGCTATTCATATTTAATTTGCTTGTCAGCTACTTAAAAAGACAAATGTTTTTGGGCTGCAAGCCTGAACATTGTAAGGGTGTTTCACAGACTTAAATGTGCTAGCAGTTGTCTAGCATGGAGGCTCATAAATGGCTTGTATTTGTATTTTGTTCTGATGAGGCATCAAATAAAGTTTGTTATATCCAGAGATATTGGTGCCATCAACATGCAGATGGCACTCCAATTTCTCTTTTCCTTTCATATTTGAATCATCAAACCACTACTGGTCTCAGTTCTAGCTTTATTTGAATGAAGAGGAACAAATTAAAGCTTATCATGAAGAGACACTTGCCAGACATAAAGGGGAATAGGTTTGTACTGTCTTTAAAGCAGCAGTTTGCATTTTAGGAGTGCTTTCTATCAGTTTCATTTTTTGTCAAGTGTGGATGGCGGGGGGAGGGGGGAGACTTTTTTTTTTTTTTTAGAGAAATCATATTTTACCTGAATTACCCATGCTTTAATCTAAAGTTCTCAAATTCAGACTATCACAAAGGCCACCTCATAATAACCCCATGAAGATTATTTATTAACCTAAGGTCTGAAGCACTGAAATATTTTAATACAGTGGCACAGTGGTTTTTACTGAGAGGGAAGTGAAAAACATATCACAATGGACCCTTACATTTATTAGCCAATTTTTTTTATTATTACAAAACACAGAAGCTTGTGAAACATCTGCAAAACAACCGTTTTACTAAGGCTGCATAGCTGGATAGGTTTTCCATTAACGAAATTGCAATAATTGACTTTATTACTGAATTAGAGTCTAATATTCTTTTCATGATCATATCTATGATACTCTTAAGAAACCCCTACCAACAAGAGCTGACCAAATCCTGTTTATTTTTTTCTCTTCTTACCAAGTGAAGAGATTTTTCTTTCCTTTTCTCATTACTGTTCTTTCTCATTAATTCCTTTGCCTAGTAGAAATATGTGATTTATTGTTTTTGCGTGGCAGAAAAATCCTGACAACTAAGCATCCAGATGTATAGTCTCTTTCTCACCCAACTCCTCCTCCTCCTCCTCCGCCTCCTCCTCCCTTGGGTAGTCATATTTTCTTAGCTCATACTAGCAGACCAAACATTATCTTTATGCAGTACGACCAATGTTCAGAGAGATCAGGGCCATCAAAATGGATTGCCTGCAACAGAGTGGGCAAGAGAACACTGGGTGCTGATGGTAGCAATGTCAATACAAACAATATTTCAGGGATTTCTCTGCCAGTATAGATAGTAGTTGGGGGGGGGGAAGGAATTTTAATATTCTGCTTATGGAATAAGATACATTGTTTCCAATTTTGTTTCATACCATGCAGATTGATCATTGGTTTACATTTTTGCTGTACTTTAACATTTGAATGCCTGTCCCACCCAGTTCCTGGAGGACAAAGCCTGCTTCAATTCATTTAAAAAACTCACTTTCACTGCTGTTGTTTGATAAGTTACAAATGGTTTGGATTTTTATCATGAACCGGATGAACCCACAAAGCAGTTCTCTGACTCAGCGTAGGCGAATGGCTCTTGGCATTGTCATTCTTCTTCTGGTTGATGTCATATGGGTTGCTTCTTCCGAACTCACATCGGTAAGTATCTTGCTATAATGCAACAATATTGTGATCTTAATTTTCTTTTTAACCTAAGTGAAACTAGTAGTATTTAACTACAGGGAATACTGCCCATCTCAGTGTTAGCCACTATTTGCTAAACTAATTAATCAAACCTTGTAAGGTTTTAGAACAAGCTTTAGATTATACAGTCATGTGAAAAAGCAAATGCACCCCATTGAAATGTTTCAACTGAGTGAAACCTGTACATAACAACAAATATCATGCACTAGTTACATTTTGTAGACCATTTTATAATTCAGTGGTTCTGAAACGGACAAGTCAAATATTGGACCCAATTCACAATACTAGATAACAAATAATTGTTGTGCCAGTTTCCTTTGAATAAAACTAAAACTGTCTGGCTATTTTTGAAGTAAAATTAATTTTCATGCTAATGCATCCCACCTTTAGATGGTAAGTTTTATAAGTTCCTCCTGTCCCCCCCCCCCCAAAAAAGCTCTGCTTACCTCTTCCAAGTGATTGTATATTCAGGTAATCCTTGACTTACAACCATTCATTTAGTGACCGTTGGAAGTTACAACCGCACTGATAAAAGTGACTAACGATCAGTGCAGCATCCCCAGATCATGTGATCAAAATTCAGATTTGTGGCAGTTGGTTTATATTTATGACAGTTACAGTGTCCCGGGGTCATCTGATCACCTTTTGTGACTTTCTGACAAACAAATCAATGGGAAAGCCAGATTCACTTAACAATCACATTACTAACTTAACAACTGCAGTGATTCACTTAACTATGCCAACAAAGATCATAAAATGGGGCCAAACTCACTTAAGAACTGTCTTGTTTAGCAACAGAAATGTTGGGGTCAAATTTGGTTGTAAGTTGAGGACTGCATAGATGTATCACATTTTTATAGCTAGATGCATTTTTTCCCTATTTACCTCTTGATTGATTGATTATGTGCCATTTGTCGTGCCTTTGCGGCCTCTGACCCGACGTGGATCTCGACCATCTCCTTGGTTTACCGAGGGGCTGAGAGAGATGAAACGTCGGAAAAGACGCCTGGAGAGCAGTTGGAGGGCCAGCCGAACCGAATCCACTCGAACACAGGTAAAGATACATCTTAGATCTTACCTAGTGGCGCTGAGGGAGGCTAGGACTAACTACTNCCCCCCCCCCCCAAAAAAGCTCTGCTTACCTCTTCCAAGTGATTGTATATTCAGGTAATCCTTGACTTACAACCATTCATTTAGTGACCGTTCGAAGTTACAACCGCACTGATAAAAGTGACTAACGATCACTGCAGCATCCCCAGGTCATGTGATCAAAATTTAGATTTGTGGCAGTTGGTTTATATTTATGACAGTTACAGTGTCCTGGGGTCATCTGATCACCTTTTGTGACTTTCTGACAAACAAATCAATGGGAAAGCCAGATTCACTTAACAACCACATTACTAACTTAACAACTGCAGTGATTCACTTAACTATGCCAACAAAGATCATAAAATGGGGCCAAACTCACTTAAGAACTGTCTTGTTTAGCAACAGAAATGTTGGGGTCAAATGTGGTTGTAAGTTGAGGACTGCATAGATGTATCACATTTTGATAGCTAGATGCATTTTTTCCCTATTTACCTCTTGATTGATTGATTATGTGCCATCAAGTCACTGTCAACTCTGAGTGACCACATAGATAAGCGGGTTATCCACAATCATTTCTTCTCAAATCCATGTACTAGGAATTTGGTGTCCCATCAGTTGTCCTGCAAGATGTTTACTTTAAGGGACTACCCCAAAATGTGATCCATCAGGCTTGTCCATTCTCTTGGAATTTCAGCTGCAACAGATAACCTTGCAAAGGATTTGCAAGTAGCAAAATTGCATACCATCATACAGTATGTTAGACTCTTTAATAAATCAGTACATTTATTTTTGCTAGCCCAGAAATATGCTAATAACTTACGGTATGGAGAACAGTAACTAATACAAATCCTGCTCTTGACTGAGATTGAATATGAATCCAGGAATGCTGTATTTCTAAAATCACTTTTCCATGTTTGAAGGTCCATGTAGCTTAATGAGTTTATGAGTGATGGCCTTTTTCTCCTTTTCTCTGCAGTATGTTTTCACTATGTATAAAAAACCATTCTTCAGTACGTTTGCAAAAACATCCATGTTTGTTCTTTACCTCTTGGGATTCATCATCTGGAAACCATGGAGGCAACAGTGCACGCGTGGGTTTCGTGGAAGGCATGCAGCTTTTGTAAGTATTGTTCTATTTATTGATTTTTATCCATATTGTGGAGGGTTTATACGCAAGATCAAAGTGTAAAACAGAGACAAAAATCCACATAAACTGATATAAAGTCATTTCCAAATATTCAGCCTGTACAATAATACTTTCATAAGTCTAGCATTTCAAAATGAATCTTTACACTAAACAAAAATAGTAATGCTACTTAGGGGAATTAATATGAACATCTAGCTTGCTGTCTTTGGAATCAGTAGTTAGCATGTGGTTTATATTGCCTCTACCTGAAGTGATATTAGTGCATTGCAAAGATGTCACACTAAATGTTGTCTTAAGAAAAATTGTTTTGTGAAAGTTTATTTCTTTATTAAGATGTTTGTAGTTTTTCTATTGATAAAATGCAACAAACGTGCTACTTACAATATCCCATGAGAAAATGAGAGCTAATTCAGTTTTTTTCTCCCTCTGAACTCTCATAGCTAGATTCTTGACACATCTTGCTATATATGAAAATGAAGAGCTCTATAATTATATTCATCTATTTGTTTGTTTATATCCCACCTTTATTATTTTTATAAATAACTTAAGGTGGTGAACACATACACACACTACTCTTTTCTCCTCCTATTTTTCCCATAGTAACAACTGTAACAGGTGGGTTGAGAGAGAGTGACTGGCCCACAGTTACCCAGCTGGTTTTCATGCCTAAAATGGAACTAGAACTCACTGTCTCCTGGCTTCTAGGCTGGTGGATTAACTATTAGCTCATGAACTCAATCAGCAGACTAGGTAGATTTCAGTGTATTACATAGAATTTTATGGCAATTTCACTTCCTTCTTAGTCTCTCTATTTTGCATCTTAAATACATGTTTATTTTATTCAGATTATCATTTGCCATGAAGTATCCTGGCATCCAAATAGCTAGAGATAAGCAAGAAGGCTATATAAAACTTAAAATTGGTTCCTAGTGGTACTTTGGAGCATGCATGGGCCTGTGTCTCTATCTCTTTAAAGCAGCCATGGCTTTTGCTGGGATCACAAAAGTGCCCTCTGCAGAGGCTGCACGATCCTGAGAAAAAGTGTAGATGCTTTGGTTTTTTTTAAAGATTAGAATTCAAGCACCACACAGCCCAAATGGTAGAATATTTTATAGCTTAATAATGGCTTAAAAATGATTCTGAGCTCTTGTTTATAGTTACCAAATGTCCCTTTTGAGATCTGTGATTACTTGCAAATGATAATATGGAAGGTTGAATGCTTAGATAAGCATTTTTAACTTAAGTTTCTAGCTGGAGAATGGACAACAATCATAATGCCCAAATGGTATAGGCAGTGATTATTGCTAATGGAAGTTGCAAGCCAGATCTGGGAATTCAGGGTTAGTAAATGCTGATGTTTGAAAACCATTTATATAATTTCTTATTATGGAAGAAAAAAATTATTAAACTATTTGATAAAATGTGTTATGAACAATACATCATAGACTGCTTTTTGTTTATTTTTGACTGGCTCCTAGACTAGTGTTCAGCTTACTTACTAACAGCTGGATAATTGGGAAAAACATCCAAATACTGATTTACTTTATAGTCAGCTTCCCATATGCCCCTGATCACATTTGGTTTTATTGCAGTGACACTGTTTATCGTCTCTTATTCTTTTCTTGGAATAGCTTTTATGCCATGATAAGTTTTGACTTTGAAACTGATGCCAGTTCAAGATCAAGATGGAGGAAGAATCAGAATGTGGCTGTCAATGGGCCATTTTTCCTCAATCTGTACCTCAGTCAAAACTATTGATGACGATAATATTCTCTAACTTAAACATACTTTTTAAAATCAAAGCACTAGATATATATTAATAGAATCTGAGGTGTCAAATTTCTGCTTAGTTTGCAGATGCTGAAAGTTATTTTGCCACTTGTACAACTGACAATACTGTGAATAGTTCTTTGGTAAGTTTTCTCATTTAAGCATTGTATTGCTGTATGGCAATA